CAGCTTCTAACGGTTTGTACCAAAAAGTCTAAAAAAAAAAAAAAAAACACACACAAAAAACAAAGAAAACAGGTTTTTTTTTTTTTTTTTTTTTTTTTTTTTTTTTTTTTTTTTGTTTTTTTTTTTTTTTGGTTCGTTATTTTTTAGTTTTGTTTTTTGTTTGGTTTTTGTTTGTTTTTTTTTTTTTTGTTTTTTTTTTTTTCAGTTTAGTGTTTTTTGTGGGTTGTTTTGTGTTTTTTTTTTTTGTTGTTGGTATGCTGGGGGGTTTTTTGTTTTAGTTTTTTTACTGTTTTTCAACTTTTTTGTTTTGTTCCGGGGTTTTATGTTTTGGTTATTTGGTGTGTGTTTATTTGGTTGGTTTGGTTTTTTTTTATTCTCATTATTTTAACTTTTAAAGTTACACATAGGAGATGCAGTCCTTTTTTTTTGGTGATTTATTTTTTGTTTGTTTAATCATTTTAATACCGGGCACTTGTCCCCCCCCTTCCTGCCCAGGACATAATTTTCAGCTTACAGCGCTCTCACACTTTGAATGACAATTGCGGCGGGTCATACAACATTGTACCCAAACTAAATTGTTTATCATTTTGTTCACACAGCTAGAGCTTTCTTTGTTGGCAGTATTTCTGTTATAAAAAATTTGCAAATAAATATTGTTCTTCATAATTTTAGGCCGAGATGTATTCTGCTCCATGTCTTTGGTGAAAATAACCCAAATTAGGATGTATGTTTTAGTTTGTAGGAAAGTTATTAGAGTTCACCAAACCTATGGTATAGATCTGAATATTGTCTCAATCCTGAAGTACTGAAGACAGCCCAATCTAATTTCCAGATATCCCCCAAATGTCAGAACAGTCAACAGATATCCCCCAAATGTCAGGTCGGTACAGATATCCCCCAAATGTCAGGACGGTACAGATATCCCCCAAATGTCAGGGACGGTACAGATGAATCCCCCAAATGTCAGGACGGTACAGATATCCCCCAAATGTCAGAAAGGACAGATATCCCCCAAATGTCAGGACAGGACAGATAATCCCCTAAATGTCAGGACGTGTACAGATATCCCCCAAATGTCAGGACGGTACAAGATATCCCCCCCAAATGTCAGGGACGGTACAGATATCCCCAAATGTCAGGACAGGACAGATATCCCCCCAAATGTCAGGACAGGACAGAATATTCCCCCTAAATGTCAGGACGGTACAGATATCCCCCAAATGTCAGGACGGTACAGATATCCCCAATATGTCAGGGTCGGTAACAGATATCCCCCAAATGTCAGGACGGTACAGATATCCCCCTAAATTGTCAGGACAGTACAGATATCCCGCCAAATGTCAGGACAGTAAACAGATATCCCCCAAAATGGTCCAGGGACAGTACAGATATCCCCCAAATGGTCAGGACAGTACAGATATCCCCCAAATGTCAGGACAGTACAGATATCCCCCAAATGTCAGGCACGGTACAGATATCCCCCAAATGTCAGAACAGTACAGATATCCCCCAAATGTCCCCTTTTTGCAAAGTAGACAGTCTGACATATATTTCAAGAGGCATGGCGAGTTTTTTTTTGAAGTTGTAATTTTTTTTGTAAATATTTGGAAAATGAAGAAATTGCAAAAAAAAAATTTTTCTTACATAATGGTGTGATGGTGATTCAGGGACGCTGGTGACAGTACGGGGGGCATGGGAAAATATTACTTTTTTTTTTTTTTTCCATAGATTTTCTTTTCATATTACACTATGACCAAAGCAGTATAATGTTACCTTAGTATCCATAGTATGACTGTATCCTGCCCCCCCTTGCAGTCTGTATCCCGCCCCCCCTTTGATCAGTCTGTATCCCGCCCCCCTTGCAGTCTGTATCTCCGCCCCCCCTTACTTGCAGTCTGTATCCCGACCCCCCTTGCAGTCTGTATCCCGCCCCCCCTTGCAGTCTGTATCCCGCCCCCCCTTGCAGTCTGTATCCCCCCCCCCCTTGCAGTCTGTATCCCGCCCCCCCTTGCAGTCTGTATCCCGCCCCCCCCTTGCAGTCTGATATCCCGCCCCCCTTGCAGTCTGTATCCCGCCCCCCTTGCAGTCTGTATCCCGCCCCCCTTGCAGTCTGTATCCCGCCCCCCCTTGCAGTCTGTATCCCGCGACCCCCCTTGCAGTCTGTATCCCGCCCCCCTTGCAGTCTGTATCCCGACCCCCCCTTAGCAGTCTGTATCCCGCCCCCCCCTTGCAGTCTGTATCCCGCCCCCCCTTGCAGTCTGTATCCCGCCCCCCTTGCAGTCTGTATCCCGCCCCCCCTAGCAGTCTGTATCCCGCCCCCCCCCTTGCAGTCTGTATCCCGCCCCCCCTTGCAGTCTGTATCCCGCCCCCCCTTGCAGTCTGTATCCCGCCCCCCCTTGCAGTCTGTATCCCCGCCCCCCCCTTGCAGTCTGTATCCCGCCCACCCCCTTGCAGTCTGTATCCCGCCCCCCCTTGCAGTCTGTATCCCGCCCCCCCTTGCAGTCTGTGTCCCCCCCCCCCCCTTGCAGTCTGTATCCCCGCCCCCCTTGCAGTCTGTGTCCCGCCCCCCCCTTGCAGTCTGTGTCCCGCCCCCCCTTGCAGTCTGTGTCCCGCCCCCCCTTGCAGTCTGTGTCCCGCCCCCCCTTGCAGTCTGTGTCCCCGCCCCCCCTTGCAGTCTGTGTCCCGCCCCCCCTTGCAGTCTGTGTCCCGCCCCCCCTTGCAGTCTGTGTCCCGCCCCCCCCCCCTTGCAGTCTGTGTCCCGCCCCGCCCTTGCAGTCTGTGTCCCGCCCCCTTTTGCAGTCTGTGTCCCGCCCCCCCTTTGCAGTCTGTGTCCCGCCCCCCCTTGCAGTCTGTGTCCCGCCCCCCCTTGCAGTCTGTGTCCCGCCCCCCCTTGCAGTCTGTGTCCCGCCCCCCCTTGCAGTCTGTGTCCCGCCCGCCCCCCTTGCAGTCTGTGTCCCGCCCCCCCTTGCAGTCTGTGTCCCGCCCCCCCTTGCAGTCTGTGTCCCGCCCCCCCTATGCAGTCTGTGTCCCGCCCCCCCTTGCAGTCTGTGTCCCGCCCCCCCCTTTGCAGTCTGTGTCCCCGCCCCCCCCTTGCAGTCTGTGTCCCGCCCCCCCCCTTGCAGTCTGTGTCCCGCCCCCCCTCCCCCCCCCTTGCAGTAGTCTGTATCCCTTCCCCCTCCCCCCCCTTGCAGTCTGTATCCCTTCCCCCTCCCACCCCCCCCCCCCTTGCAGTCTGTATCCCTTCCCCCTCCCCCCCCCTTGCAGTCTGTATCCCTTCCCCCTCCCCCCCCCTTGCAGTCTGTATCCCTTCCCCCTCCCCCCCCTTGCAGTCTGTATCAATCCCCCCTTGCAGTCCTTATCCATCAACAACCCCCCCCCCATTGAATCTATGTGGCACAGATGATGCAGCTCTGATCTTGGTGTCTCGTTGCAGTCGCCTGCTAGAGCCACGGGAGACCACGAATCTGCCTTTGATGGGCTGTGAAGATCTTGAGAGTTCAATAGACCCCGAATATCTCCATAAAGAGTACCTGTCACCTGCCCAGATCTATCACATAGGACTTGTTTGCCCCCTTGTGATAGCAATAAAGCTAAATGAAGAAAAAATAAAGCGTTCAATAAACTTTAATTAAAAACAAATCGCCCCTATTCCTCTGTGTGATACACTCCAATGCACATGCACACCTAGGTCCTGCACACGTATGTAAACCGTGATGGCACTCCACACAAGGCATCGCCTTGTATGTCAGAGTGAGAGTCGTAATTCTAGGGCCCACATTCATGATCAATTCTACACACGGATCACCTGTAAAGCATCACCGATGAAAAATGTTTCGCCATTTCTCGCGTGTGCGCAGTTTTATGTCCCGACATGTTTGGTATGTACTTACTTGATGTGACCAAAAAATTGAGTGTTCCGTGGTGGAGTGCGCTTAGTCCAATTTTGGACCTTATCCTAACCAGTCTTCACAATGCTCCCTCTCCCCTCCTAACCTGTGTAAGAAAGATGTACTGGCCTTTGTCCGGTAACGTGATCCCCTGTGCTGCAAGGTTTAGGTCTGGTCACATGATCCCCTCTGCTGCAGGTTTGAGGTCCGGTCTGGTCACATGATCCCCTCTGCTGCAGAGGAGAGGTCTGGTCCGGTCAAGTGATCCCCTCTGCTGCAGGGGAGAGGTCTGGTCCGGTCACGTGATCCCCTGTGCTGCAGGGGTGAGGTCCGGTCACGTGATCCCCTGTGCTGCAGGGGTGAGGTCCGGTCACGTGATCCCCTGTGCTGCAGGGGTGAGGTCCGGTCACGTGATCCCCTGTGCTGCAGGGGTGAGGTCCGGTCTGGTCACGTGATCCCCTGTGCTGCAGGGGTGAGGTCCGGTCTGGTCACGTGATCCCCTCTGCTGCAGGGGAGAGGTCCAGACTATAGTTGGTGCTCCCTCTTCAATCCTGCAGCTGACATAGGGGAGGTGGATCACATGACCAGAGCGGCCTGATATAGGCAAGCATGTACATCTTCCTCACACCGGGGTGAACACATGGGTGTCCGGAGGGGGCGGGGACATTTTTAAATCTAGTTGGATTAAGCCTGAAATTCTGCTTAAAATTCATTTTAGTGTTTTTTTTTTTCTGGAAAATTTGCATTTTGATTAATGGCTGCGCAGATATTCTGAGCCAAATACGGCAGCCAGCATTTTATTCTGCAGGGCCTTCGCTTTCCGAAGGTGTATAATAATGTATTGGGGGAGGGGGGGGCTTTTGTAGCAAAAAAAAAAAAATGCTGATTTAATGTGTGAAATTTTAAAAACAAAATAAAATCTAATCTATATATTGCAGCGGACGGCAAGAGGTTAAAGATATTTTGTGTTTTCAGTTCAAAGATCCGTCTACAAAGATATTGTGAAACTGCTGCAGGTGGACGAATTACTAACAGAAAACCAGCTCCGAGCCAAGGTGAGATCGCTCCGGAATCTTACACCCCCAGCAGTGCGATCGACCTGTAGATGGAGTACAGCATGCTTGTTATACTCACTGTGCAACCTAAGGGGTTAATCCTCCGCATTGTGTAAAAACGCTGTTTGATCCTGTCTCTGATACTCCCCTTCTTCCAGTGTCCTGCTCTTATCTCCTGATAAGACATATCGTGTGAAGTCCATCTGCACATGCTCAGTTTGGTGTGTATTGCTAGAGAGGTGTGTTCTTTCTTTTTTTTTTTTCTTTCTTGGGAGTGTGCATGTTATCTGCACTGTACAGACAGAGGTGGGGGGTTCTGCATCCTCTTAGAGAAGAATGAAAACTCCTCCTACAAGCTTTAACCAGTGCTGTGCTGGACACTGATAGAAGTCACAAGACTGCTCTATACTGCTGATACGAAAAGGGATTTAGGAGTTTATATTTACTAAAATAATTGCAATTCCATGTTCTGATATAGTGAATGCGGGGTCCGGGGAGAGCGGAGATATAGGGAATGCAGGGTCACCGGGGAGAGCGGATATAGGGAATGCAGGGTCCGGGGGAGAGCAGATATAGTGAATGCGGGGGTCCGGGGAGAGCAGATATAGTGAATACGGGGTCCGGGGAGAGCGGATATAGTGAATGCGGGGTCCGGGGAGAGCGGATGTAGTGAATGAGGGGTCCGGGGAGAGCGGATATAGGGAATGCAGGGTCCGGGGAGAGCGGATATAGGAATGCAGGGTCCGGGGAGAGCGGATATAGTGAATGCAGGGGGGTCCGGGGAGAGCGGATATAGTGAATGCGGGGTCCGGGTGAGAGCGGATATAGGGAATGCGGGGTCCGGGAGAGCGGATATAGTGAATGCGGGGTCCGGGGAGGGAGTGAGCGGATATAGTGAATGCGGGGTCCGGGGGAGGAGAGCGGATATAGTGAATGCGGGGTCCGGGGAGAGCGGATATAGTGAATGCGGGGTCCGGGGGAGAGCGGATATAGTGAATGCGGGGTCCGGGGAGAGCGGATATAGTGAATGCGGGGTCCGGGGAGAGCGGATATAGTGAATGCGGGGTCCGGGGAGAGCGGATATAGTGAATGCGGGGTCCGGGGAGAGCGGATATAGTGAATGCGGGGGTCCGGGGGAAAGCGGATATAGTGAATGCGGGGTCCGGGGGAAGCGGATATAGTGAATGCGGGGTCCGGGGAAAGCGGGATATAGTGAATGCGGGAAAATAGTCCCGGGAGAGCGGATATAGTGAATGCGGGGGTCGGGGGAGAGAGCGGATATAGTGAATGCGGGGTCCGGGGAGAGCGGATATAGTGAAATGCGGGGTAAATGGGAGAGCGGATATAGTGAATGCGGGGTCCGGGGGAAAGCGGATATAGTGAATGCGGGGTCCGGGGGAAAGCGGATATAGTGAATGCGGGGTCCTAGGGAGAGCGGATATAGTGAATGCGGGGTCCGGGGAGAGCGGATATAGTGAATGCGGGGTCCGGGGAGAGCGGATATAGTGAATGCGGGGTCCGGGGAGAGCGGATATAGTGAATGCGGCGTCCGGGGAGAGCGGATATAGTGAATGCAGGGGCTGGGGAGAGCGGATATAGTGAATGCGGGGTCCGGGGGAAAGCGGATATAGTGAATGCGGGGTCCGGGGGAGAGCGGATATAGTGAATGCGGGGTCCGGGGAGAGCGGATATAGTGAATGCGGGGTCCGGGGTGAGAGCGGATATAGTGAATGCGGGGTCGGGGAGAGCGGATATAGTGAATGCGGGGTCCGGGGGAAAGCGGATATAGTGAATGCGGGGTCCGGGGAGAGCGGATATAGTGAATTTAAAATTAAATTCAAAGTGTCATTCACCACGTTTTGTAGTCCCAGGTCCTCCAGCTGCAAGTAATCGCACTGTCACCCGGCTCGGACAATTGTCTGAAGATGCACCAACAGCGTTGTATCCAAGCCTCCTATTGGTTTCCCCCAGCACAGTCTGCCCAGGTTGCCTTCTCTCTAAACCTCATTCTCATTCAAGCTGGTCAGCACTGTTAGCTGGCAACATGGACTTATTCCTGCAATTCAGCCACTTTGATAAGTGTGCAGGCATACTATGAGTTGAATCCAACAAGGTGCATGCCACCTCCTGGACTTATCTCTGTTATGTACATCTGACAGGTTTATGGCTCTCCCCAGAGTGAAGCTCCCAGAGCTGCTCTGTCTGCCTCTCCCATATGCTGCCCATTGACGAGCCTTCGTACGGCCGAGGCCAGAAGTTTTGAGAATGACACAAATATTAATTTTCATAAAGTCTGCTGCCTCGGTTTTATGATGGCAATCGGCATCTACTCCAGGAATGGTATGAAGAGCGATCAGATGACTTCCAATTAATTGCAGAATCCCTCTTTGCCATGAAAACGAACTTAATCCCAAAAGAACCTTTCCACTGCATTTCAGGCCTGCCAGAGAAGGACCAGCTAACACCATGTCGGTGATTCTCTCGGTAACACTGGTGTCAGTCTGGATGAGGACAAGGCTGGAGGTCACTCTGTCATGCTGACTGAGTTAGAATAACAGACTGGAAGCTTTAAAATGAAGGTGGTGTGCTTGAAATGAAATCATTGTTCTTCCTCTGTTAACCATGGTTACCTGCAAGGAAACACGTGCAGTCATCATTGCTTTGCACAAAAAGGGATTCACAGGCAAGGATATTGCTGCTACTAAGATTGCACCTAAATCAGACATTTATCAGATCATCAAGAACTTCAAGGAGAGAGGTTCAGTTGTTGTGAAGAAGGTTTCAGGTTGCCCAAGAAAGTCCAGCAAGCACCAGGACCATCTCCTAAAAGTTGATTCAGCTGTGGGATCGGGGCACCACCAGGGCAGGAGCTTGTTCAGGAATGGCAGCAGGCAGGTGTGATGCATCGGCACGCACAGTGAGAAGACTTTTGTGGGATGGCCTGGTGTCAAGAAGGGCAGCAAAGAAGCCACTTCTCTCCAGGAAGAACATCAGGGACAGACTGATATTCTGCAAAAGGTCCAGGATTGGACTGCTGAGGACTGGGGGAAAGTCCTTTTCACTGATGAACCCCTTTCCAATTGTTTGGGTCCTCCGGAAGTAACCTTGTCTGGAGAAGAGAAAAGGTGAGCGCTACCATCAGTCCTGTGTCGTGCCAACAGTAAAGCCTCCTGAGACCCTTCATGCGTGGGGTCGCTTCTCAGCCAAGGCAGTGGGCTCACTCACAAAAACAAAGCCATGAATAAAGAATGGTCCACAAACATCCTCCAAGAACTTCTCCCAACCATCCAAGGACAGTTTGGTGAGGAACAATGCCTTCTTCAGCATGATGGAGCTTCTTGCCATAAGGCAAAAAGTCATAACTAAGTGGCTTGGGGAACAAAACATCGAAATTTTTGGGTCCATGGCCAGGAAAACCCCCAGACCTTTATCCTGTTGAGAACTTGTGGTCGATCCTCAAGAGGCAGGTGAACAGAAACCCCACAAATTCCGGAAAACTCCAAACATTGATTATGCAAGAATGGGCCGCCACCATCAGTCAGGGTGTGGTCCAGAAGTTGATGGAAAGCATGCCGGGGGGGGGGGGGATCGCAGTGGTCTGGAAAAAGAAGGGTCAACATTGCAAATACTGAATCTTTGCATAAACGTCATGTCATTGTCAGGAAAAGTCTCTGACACATATGAAATGCTCGTTGTCATACTTCAGTATACCAGAGGAACATCTAAAAAGATCTAAAAACACTGAAGCAGCAGACTTTGTGAAATTAATATTTGTGTAATTCTCAACTTTTGGCCATGGCTGTATTTTGAGAATGATTTCAAGGAGGGGAGGGGCAGGAAAAGCTGTTGCCTTGATTACACTTGAAGGAGCTGAGAGTGTCAGAACTCTGGAAGAGATCTTCCTGCCCATTCACAGAAGCCTTTTGTATTTTGCGAATAAGTTTACCTAATGCAAAGGCTTCTGTGAATGGGCAGTAGGAGGGGAGGACGGGCATAGCCATTCCAGCAACTCTGCTCTTCAAGGAATTGAGACTCAGTGAGCAATGACTGGAAGCTGTCTTCCTGGAGCACAATAAACCTGTCAAATGTAAATAGAGGGGGGTCCTGGAGGTGCCGTGCAGCTCATTGGACTTAACTCCTAGTGTACCTGCACTGTTTACAAAGGTACTGAAATCCTGGTGTTCAGCTTTAAGCAGCTTCCACCATCACTTTACAATGACGTAAAGAAAACCCGTCGCAAGGGGGCACTCTGATGGGGACACCTGATGTAAGGAGGCACTCTGATGGGGACACCTGATGTAAGGGGGCACTCTGATGGGGACACCTGCTGTAAGGGGGCACTCTGATGGGGACACCTGCTGTAAGGGGGCACTCTGATGGGGACACCTGCTGTAAGGGGGCACTCTGATGGGGACACCTGCTGTAAGGGGGCACTCTGATGGGGACACCTGCTGTAAGGGGGCACTCTGCTGGGGACACCTGCTGTAAGGGGGCACTCTGGGGCACTCTGATGGGTACACCTGCATGTTAGGGGGCACTCTGATGGGGACACCTGATGTAAGGGGCACTCTGTTGGGGACACCTGATGTAAGGGGGCACTCTGATGGGGACACCTGATGTAAGGGGGCACTCTGATCTGATGTGGGGGACACCTGATGTAAGGGGGCACTCTGATGGGGGACACTCTGATGGGGACACCTGCTGTAGGGGGCACTCTGATGGGGACACCTGCTGTAAGGGGGCACTCTGAAGGGGACACCTGCTGTAAGGGGGCACTCTGATGGGGACACCTGCTGTAAAGGGGCACTCTGATGTGGACACCTGATGTAAAGGGGCACTCTGATGGGGACACCTGATGTAAGGGGCACTCTGATGGGACACCTGCAGTTAGGGGGCACTCTGATGGGGACAGCTGATGGGGACACCTGATGTAAGGGGGCACTCTGATGGGGACACCTGAGGTAAGGGGGCACTCTGATGGGGACACCTGAGGTAAGGGGGCACTCTGTTGGGGACACCTGAGGTAAGGGGGGACACCTGCTGTAAGGGGGCACTCTGATGGGGACACGAGGTAAAAGGTTACTCTGATGGGGACACCTGAGGTAAGTGGGTTCTGTTCTCTTTTACTTGAAAAGAGAGATTTGGCCCTCGGCTGGAAGACCATTTTAGCAACCAGACTTTGAATTTTAACTCATTACCCGTGTTCTAGGCCATCCAGTGATCCCTCCACACTTCTACAATGACCTAAAAAAAAAACCATCCCAATTCCGGCACCGTACAAGGCCGTCCGCCATGCAAGCCATAGCTTGGCTCCATCTAAGTCCCACTCCCCTGTCAACCAATCCCCCCCCCCCCACCTGAGGTAAGGGACACTCTGCAGACTTGAAAAGAGATTCAGCCCTCGGCCTTGAAGTTTAATTCGTTCCCCCCTCTAGGCTATCCAATGATCCCACTGGCGGGTAGATCAACCCAACGATTTTTGAAGGATAGAAAACTTTGACTCCCTTGATAATGGCGATTACTCGTGGTTGGATGACTTCGGGTTACAGGACCTAAAGCTTCATGGGGTCTTGGTGATGTGAAGGTGTGGGGGTCCGCATGGCATCAGGCCCTGTGTTAGTCACCCTAAGCTTTTTTTTATCATGCGTAGCCCCCTGCTAATTTTCTTGCGTTCTTTATTGGCTGTCCAATCCCGTGATTTCACAGTCGTGTAGGGTCGGATTTCTGTGCTGCAGTTGGGTAATCTGTTTCCTGAACCCCGTTTTTTTTTTTTTTTTTTTTTTTTGTTTCCTTCCAGGGGGAGATGAGTTTTTGCCAATGACACCCTGGTGGAAGGGGGCTCTTTATCCGAAATGCACAACGGAACAAATTACCGCGCGAAGTGCGTCAGTACCGGACTGGCCACCACCTCGTGCGCTTCTACTTCTTGACTCGGGTGTATTCGGAATACGTAGAGAGCGTGCTGGCCGACTTCAAAGAAGGACCCATGCCTGACGTCGTCCTCGTAAACTCTTGTATCTGGGACCTTCTAAGGTACGTTTCTCTTCAATCCCTGGGAGGGGGGGTTTGGGGGGGGGGGTGGGGGGAGGGGATGTGTTTTGGGTCACTCTTGTAATTGTATGAGAATGAAGACAATTGGAATTACATTTTGCGCTCTTAACTTTTCTCATTTCCGAAAAAAAAAAGCAGCACTTGAGCTTCAGGCAGGTGACTGTGTCCAGGTCTGATGGGGTGCAATCGGTAATAGACAATCAGTCTGCTGCAGGCTGGAAGAAGCCTTTCCTCAGTCTCCTCTTCCCCCATAATCCCTATATACTGTAACTTTGTAACAAGTGAGAGCTAGCTTTGGGGTAAAGAGGGGATTTGTGAGCCAACGTGTCCATAAAGGCACCTCTGCTTGACCTCCGGAAGGGTTTACCCCCTTCATGACCAGGCCATTTTTTTGCTATTCAGCACTGCACTACCTTAACTGGCAATTGCTCTGTTATGCAACACTATACCTAAATGAAATTTTTATAATTTTTTTGCACACAGAGCTTTCTATTGGTGGCAATAAATCACTACTGTTTAGGAAAAAAATTTTTGTCTTCATTTCGGTTATAAAATTTTGTAAGAAAATCTCTTACTTTATGAATTTAGGCCAAAAATGTATTCTGCTCCCTTTCTTTGGTAAAAATAGCCCAAATCAGTGTACATTATTTAGTCTTTCCAAAATGTATATATTAAAATTGATTATTCCTGATGTACTGACTGCCAGTCTCCTTTCTGGAGGCCCTAAAATGCTGGGACAGTACAAATCCCCCCCCCCAAATGACCCCTTTTTGGAAAGTAGACAGTCCAAGGTGTGACGGGAGTCACTTTGGGTGGGGGGCCCATGGAACACAGCTCACTTTGGAGAGGTGGGGAGACCCCAGTCTCAGCTCCCCATATCCCTCTTATGTGTAAGTCACCCTGTGCCTGTTAGGGGTGCAGGGTGAAATGTCCTATTATTGTGTAGACATGTCTAGGAGATCGGTGGGGTGGGGGGTTGTTCATTGTTTAATGCCATGTGGTTGCATCCCATTGTTCTATTGTGTCTTGCTTGAGAGCAAACTATAATGGGATGTATGTGTTTTGTGTATTGGCTTGGTGGGGGGTGTTTCCGGCAGCCCTCCCCCCTGATGGGACTGTCTGCTGATGTGTCTCTTGTTACTGGGTGTGTATTGCCCCGCCCTGTGTATATATCTTGTATCTGTGTTAAAGTAAAGGAGTCCATTTCCTGATTTATTTCAAAAGAGTGGTGTCTGTGGTCTGTGTTCAGACGGGGAAGCGGGAATCTAATGGAAATACCCTAGTGCAGTCGGGGTCCGGTTCCGTTACACAAGGTATTTAGTAAGAGTTAGGCAGAGATTTTTTTTTTTTTTTTTTTATTTTGAAGTAATATTTTTGTCACTTTTTTTTTTTTTTTTTTTTTTTTTAAATATATGGTCACCAGTGCAGTACAGCGTCATCTTGACTGGTGTGGAGGTGATTAGGGATGCTGACAGATGACAGTATGTAAAAAATAAAGGTTTTACTTTTTTTTTTTATTTTCTTTTGCGACTTTTGTTTTTTTCTTTTTTTGTTTTTTTCTTTTTTTGTTTTAACATACCGTATTTGCCGGCGTATAAGACGACTTTTTGACCCCTGAAAATCTTCTCAAAAGTCGGGGGGTCGTCTTATACGCCGGTATACGGCATACTGACACTTTTTAGGGGGACAGGGCGGTGCCGCCGCCGCCCCCCCTTCCAACGGAAGGCACACTAAGTACAGGGGTGGGCAGGGGCTGGTGTTTCTTACCTGACTCCGGTCCCACGACGATCCGGTCCAGGAAGCGCGACTGCTCCTTCAGTTCGGCCACTGGATGTTCGCGCGGCTGCTCGGCTCCGCCTCCTCACCGGTGATTGGCCGCCAGAACTGTAGCTCAGGAAAGGCACACAGGCGGCCAATCACCGGCAAGGGGCGGAGCCAAGCGGCCCCGCGAAAATTAAGTGCAGGAGCAGCAGGTAAGTGTGCCGTGTAGAGGTGCTGCTGCAACAGCACCGTACTAGAACAGGGTCAGCAAGTGTCATTGGTGTCAGTGGGAGGAATAGTGCCCCATCATTGGTGTCACTGATTCCAATGATGGAGCACTATTCCTCCCACTGACACCAATGATGGGGCACTATTCCTCCCACTGACACCAATGATGGGGCACTATTCCCCCCCCCACTGACACCAATGATGGGGCACTATTGCCCCCCCCCCCCCACTGACACCAATGATGGGGCACTATTCCTGCCACTGATACCAATGATGGGGCACTATTCCTCCCACTGACACCAATGATGGGGCACTATTCCTCCCACTGACACCAATGATGGGGCACTATTCCTCCCACTGACACCAATGATGGGGCACTATTCCTCCCACTGACACCAATGATGGGGCACTATTCCTCCCACTGATACCAATGATGGGGCACTATTCCTCCCACTGATACCAATGATGGGGCACTATTCCTCCCACTGATACCAATGATGGGGCACTATTCCTCCCACTGACACCAATGATGGGGCACTATTCCTCCCACTGACACCAATGATGGGGCACTATTCCTCCCACTGACACCAATGATGGGGCACTATTCCTCCCACTGATACTAATGATGGGGCACTATTCCTCCCACTGACACCAATGATGGGGCACTATTCCTCCCACTGATACCAATGATGGGACACTATTCCTCCCACTGATACCAATGATGGGACACTATTCCTCCCACTGATACCAATGATGGGGCACTATTCCTCCCACTGATACCAATGATGGGGCACTATTCCTCCCACTGACACCAATGATGGGGCACTATTCCTCCCACTGATACCAATGATGGGGCACTATTCCTCCCACTGACACCAATGATGGGGCACTATTCATCCCACTGACACTAATGATGGGGCACTATTCCTCCCACTGACACCAATGATGGGGCACTATTCCTCCCACTGACACCAATGATGGGGCACTATTCCTCCCACTGACACCAATGATGGGGCACTATTCCTCCCACTGACACCAATGATGGGGCACTATTCCTCCCACTGGTGTGCATTGGAAGAGGGGTAGTCTTATACGGCGAGTATAGCCCAAACACTATTAGGGGGTCGTCTTATACGCCGGCAAATACGGTACATACTTTCATAAGAGTAGTTCATTGGGGGGGATCATGGAGTTTTTTTTCACACTGAGATTTTTATTAAGTCAGGATCACTGTCACAAGCAATCCTTTTAACTTCCATGAATGGCTTTCATTCATGAGAGCTTGCTTACTATTATTACATGCCACAAGGCTGCTGTGAATTGCCTTGTACCATGTGGTAGCTGTGGGCCAATCACAGCATCACAATAGTAAGCCAGCTGTCATGAATGTTTGTTGTGAAGTGTAGCGTAAACTGTTGGCTCTATATAAATCCTGCATAATGCATGAAAGCCATTCATGTCAGTTTTGCTTACATGCTATCGTGATTGGTCATAGCGATCACATGATACCCCAGGCACGCAGTGTCTTCGGTACCAAGCACAGGGATCTGCTGTGTCACAGGCCACAAGTGGTTAAAGTAAAATTACATTTTATTGCTCATCTTAAGAGGGAACAAATACTTTCCTGCTCCAATTTTTTTAGTTTTATTATTATTTTTTATCTTCCTAAATGCCTACATTTTGTGTAAAACTCTGGTCATGTGACACACCAGGTCCCAGGTCTTCTTTATTCTGCCCTGTATACTATGGAAGGGTCCAGTGTGCAATGGCCAAGTTGCTCTCTGGGGGTCATGAATGCTGCTCTTTGGCCGCCACTCATGTCCATCATTGGGTTCTGAAGTGGTCAGGAGCAGCATCATGCGAGGTTAGGTTGGATCCAGCCAAGAGAATGGAGATAGCAGCTCCTGACCATCAGTGAAAGCTACCAGGAAGGGCGCCATAGAGATCATGTGATGGCAGATTCAGGTAAGTTTCTAGTGTTTTTTGAGGGTAAAAAAAAAAAAAAAAAAGTCCTGGTGTTGGGCAACCACTAAAGACCCTGGGGGCTTCCAATCCTCATTCAGGTCTGTTTGGCCCCCACCCAGACCTCAGATGCAATGCAGGCCCACTCTCCACTGCCCAGCCTTTTGCCGTGCAAAGCAGTGCTTCTGTCCATTTCCCAGGGTGTCTGGGCCACGGTGCGATCACAACTGGAAGTACCATAGAAGGGAATGGAAGACCAGCTTTGGCCCTTACCGTGAGCAAGAAAATACTTTGCTTCTGCCTGTATTTCTAAGTTCTTTCTCAATATTGGCTGTATGTGTAGAAAGCGACTCCTTTATTTATTTTTTTTCCTTCTGGGAGGTCAGGGCTCAACAAATCCCAGGTGCCAGGTCATCATGACGACTAGGAATTGCGTCCTGGTGCCTGGGTTCATACACTGCCTCCCATTGACTTGAATGAGAGATTGCACCCCATAGACTTCAACAAGCAGTCTGCACCCCGTAGACTTCAACAAGCAGTCTGCACCCCATAGGACTTCGACAAGCAGTCTGCGCCTCGTAGGCTTCGACAAGCGGTCTGCGCCCCGTAGGCTTCGGCAAGCGGTCTGCGCCCCGTAGGCTTCGGCAAGCGGTCTGCGCCCCGTAGGCTTCGGCAAGCGGTCTGCGCCCCGTAGGCTTCGGCAAGCGGTCTGCGCCCCGTAGGCTTCGGCAAGAGCCGTCTGCGCCCCGTAGGCTTCGGCAAGCGGTCTGCGCCCCGTAGGCTTCGGCAAGCGTCTGCGCGCCCCGTAGGCTTCGGCAAGCGGTCTGCGCCCCGTAGGCTTCGGCAAGCGGTCTGCGCCCCGTAGGCTTCGGCAAGCGGTCTGCGCCCCGTAGGCTTCGGCAAGGCGGTCTGCGCCCCGTAGGCTTCGACGGGGGGGGGAGGGGAGACTGCGCCCATAGGCTTTGATGGCCTGTCAAACTCGCACAGGACCTTTCCTAATGGCAATCAAAATACAATGCATGTGGACCGCATTTGTGTGAACCACCTCAGTGGGAACACATATCTAGTCTGTCATGCGAATCTGAGAGTTTAAAAACAAATCCAGCATCACATACGTGTAAACCAGGGCGGGTCCATACACACCTGAGCATATTGGGATCGCGGCAAAATGTTGTGATTGCGAGACGCAGGTTCAGATGCCATTCTTTTCACTGGTGCAGCGTGTGTAGCAATTCACATGAAGTCCCAAGTGTGGACAACCAACGCTACGCTAACCAAAAACTGCCTCCTAACTTTAGCTGGCTCCTTGATTCAAAGCAGTTGTCACGCCTTGTGGAAGGTCATTCATCTTGGATAAGAAGTTGCATTTGGCTGTCAGAACCTAGACCCGTCCTTGAGATAGGAGTTGACGAGTCCTTGAGTCCTGAAAGCTGATATGAAGAGACATGCTTTCTATTAGCCCTGGGAAAGCACTAGAACAGGATAACTGTGAATTCTCATTGACCGCATTGTTCACACGGATCTCTCCTGCAGGTATGACAACAAGCCACTGGAAGCCTACAAAAAAAACCTGGACTGCCTCTTCAGTCGGCTCTCTGAGGTGCTGAGTCCCGAATGTCTGGTGATATGGAACATGACCATGCCCGTAGGATTCAAAGCTGGTGAAATGCCGCAGGTAACAGCGCAGAATGTAACCTATTGGAATATCGCCGATTAGGGCCTTGATGTGCCTCATGGACACCTGTCTTTGGCATCATTACAATTCTTGTTTGCATGTGGTTACATATTAATAACAAGGACTTGTCCATTTAGGGCTAGGTTCACGTTGATGACTTTATTTAGTGCGTTTGCAGAAATGCGCTACAGTCCATTTAACCTTATTTCCTATGCGCCCCATTCACATGTTTGCAGTTTCTATGCGGTTTTTTTTTTTGGAAAGGTGCAGGGACTTTTTTACATACAACAAACACGGTCCATTTTTGGCTCAATAGACTTCAGTGGAATTACCATATTTTTCGCTCCATAAGATGCACCTAGGTTTTTAGAAGAAGAAAACAAGAAAAATAAATATTCTCAACCAATAGACTGCGGACGTGTACAGGAGATGACCAGAGACTGTGGACGTAGTACAGGAGACAGAGACTGCGGACATAGTACAGGAGATGATGACCAGAGACTGCGGACATGGTACAGAGATGACCAGAGACTGCGGACACAGTAAAAGAGATGACCAGAGACTGCGGACAGACTGACCAGAGACTGCGCACATGGTACAGGAGATGACCAGAGACTGCGCACATGGTACAGGAGATGACCAGAGACTGCGCACATGGTACAGGAGATGACCAGAGACTGCGCACATGGTACAGGAGATGGGACCAGAGACTGCGGACACGGTACAGGAGGTGACCAGAGACTGCGCACATGGTACAGGAGATGACCACAGACTGCGCACATGGTACAGGAGATGACCAGAGACTGCGGACATAGTACAGGAGATGACCAGAGACTGCGGACATAGTACAGGAGATGACCAGAGACTGCGGACATAGTACAGGAGATGACCAGAGACTGCGGACATAGTACAGGAGATGACCAGAGACTGCGGACATAGTACAGGAGATGACCAGAGACTGCGGACACAGTACAGGAGATGACCAGAGACTGCGGACACAGTACAGGAGATGACCAGAGACTGCGGACACAGTACAGGAGATGACCAGAGACTGCGGACACAGTACAGGAGATGACCAGAGACTGCAGACATAGTACAGGAGATGACCAGAGACTGCGGACACAGTACAGGGGATGACCAGAGACTGCGGACACAGTACAGGAGATGACCAGAGACTGCAGACATAGTACAGGAGATGACCAGAGACTGCGGACGTACAGGGGATGACCAGAGACTGCGGACACAGTACAGGGGATGACCAGAGATTGCGGACACAGTACAGGGGATGACCAGAGACTGCGGACACAGTACAGGGGATGACCAGAGATTGCGGACACAGTACAGGGGATGACCAGAGACTGCGGACACAGTACAGGGGATGACCAGAGACTGCGGACACAGTACAGGGGATGACCAGAGACTGCGGACACAGTACAGGGGATGACCAGAGACTGCGGACACAGTACAGGGGATGACCAGAGACTGCGGACACAGTACAGGGATGACCAGAGACTGCGGACACAGTACAGGGGATGACAGAGACTGCGGACACAGTACAGGGGATGACCAGAGACTGCGGACACAGTACAGGGGATGACCAGAGACTGCGGACACAGTACAGGGGATGACCAGAGACTGCGGACACAGTACAGGGATGACCAGAGACTGCGGACACAGTACAGGAGATGACCAGAGACTGCGGACACAGTACAGGGATGACCAGAGACTGCGGACACAGTACAGGGGATGACCAGAGACTGCGGACACAGTACAGGGGATGACCAGAGACTGCGGACACAGTACAGGGGATGACCAGAGACTGCGGACACAGTACAGGGGATGACCAGAGACTGCGGACACAGTACAGGAGATGACCAGAGACTGCGGACACAGTACAGGGGATGACCAGAGACTGCGGACAGTACAGGAGATGACCAGAGACTGCAGACCTTTGGGTAGTGGGTACCCAAATTTGACAGGTTCCCACTTCCGCTGTGATTGCCTAGGTGATCATAAGCGGAAGTTGTCCTTCTCCCCCTCCCTCCCCGTAGTGTTCTGGTGACAGGTCACAGAAGACTATATGGGACCATTCACAAAGCGCAGCGCTTCTCGCACATGCTCAGTGGGCACCCGGCTGTGAAGCCGCAAGTTGTCCCTGCCGGGTGCCCACACTAAAGATGCCGGTGCCGGGGAGAGAAGATGGCCGGTGAAACCAGCCACATTGAGGACACCGCTGGACCGAGGGACAGGTAAGTGGCTGTATTTTAAAAGTCAGCAGCCATAGTATTCGATCCATAAAACGCACAGTCATTTCCTCCCATTTTTTGGGGGAAAAAAGTGCGTCTTATGGAGTGAAGAATTCGGTACATAAAAAAGACATGTTTGTGTGTTTTTGGTGTGTTTTTTTTTTTTTTTCCTGCATGACAACACACCTCCTGCTAGCAACATCAACACTTCTCTAAAAAAGCATTAAAAAAATACATCAACTGCACATGCATAGATGGGATCCTAGCCTAAAGCAGAACTATGGGTGCTGGTGGACTTAGTAGAGGGTACAGGGCTTCGCTTCCTCATGTCAGACCTGCCTCTATCTACTGGTGTGGTAATGATGAAAAAGCAGCAAGAGGGGTGGAAGAAACACAGATCTTCAGAATGAATGAAGCGGCAGCAGGGAGATCCTTGCAGTGCAGTTGCTCAGGTACAGCTTTCTCTCCAGCAAGGAGAGGTCATGGGAATTGTCTAGTGATGTAGTTTGTGATTTCAACAGGGCAGACTTTATAGAAATTTGATCCTGTAGTACTATGAGTTAAGAGAAGGATGGACAAAGCTTTTTTTTGTTTTTGTTTTTTTTGGCCATATACCTCCTGTGGGTCACAGGAGTTTGCCCACTTTTTGCTCTCCTGTAATTCTATTGTGCACGGTCAGTTAACACGTGGCAAAGCTGCTGCAGTCTCTGGAAGGAGCACAGCCATGTTGACGGGATCCACCCAGCTGCTTGATTGACAGCCGGCTCCTCCTCTCAGAATGCAGCTCTGAGCTGGGGCTGTCTGCACCTGTCCCCTCCCTAGCCTGGCGCTCTTGTGACCTCTGGAGGGGCAGAGCGGAGAGCCGTGACTGTTAGTCAACTCTCTCTGCTGAGCCCAATTATTGAGCAGTTACTTCTCGGGCATGGAGCTGACGTGGGCAAGCTGCAGCATCACACCACGCTGCTGCGGCATAGAAATAAGTATGTGTGTTTTTTTTTTTTTACAAACCCAATACTTATTCAGGCTTGGTTATATGTACAGTGGCTTGAAAAAGTCTTCACACCCCTTGAAATGTCCCCCGTGTTATGTTACAATGTATTCCCCCTGAAATGTCTCCCATGTTGTCATGTTACAGTGTATTCCCCCTCCCCCTGAAATGTCCCCCATGTTGTCATGTTACAATGTATTCCCCTTCCTCTTGAAATGTCCCCCATGTTGTCATGTTACAATGTATTCCCCTTCCTCTTGAAATGTCCCCCATGTTGTCATGTTACAATGTATCCCCCTCCCCCTGAAATGTCCCCCATGTTGTCATGTTACAATGTATTCCCCTCCCCCCTGAAATGTCCCCCATGTTGTCATGTTACAATGTATCCCCCCCCCGAAATGTCCCCCATGTTGTCATGTTACAATGTATCCCCCCCTGAAATGTCCCCCATGTTGTCATGTTACAATGTATCCCCCCCCCCCCCTGAAATGTCCCCCATGTTGTCATGTTACAATGTATTCCCCCTCCCCCCCTGAAATGTCCCCCATGTTGTCATGTTACAATGTATTCCCCTCCCCCCTGAAATGTCCCCCATGTTGTCATGTTACAATGTATCCCCCCCCCCCGAAATGTCCCCCATGTTGTCATGTTACAATGTATCCCCCCCTGAAATGTCCGACATGTTGTCATGTTACAATGTATCCCCCCCCCCCCCGAAATGCCCCCCATGTTGTCATGTTACAATGTATTCCCCTCCCCCCTGAAATGTCCCCCATGTTGTCATGTTACAATGTATTCCCCCTCCCCCCTGAAATGTCCCCCATGTTGTCATGTTACAATGTATCCCCACCCTGATATGTCCCCCATGTTGTCATGTTACAATGTATCTCCTCCCCCCTGAAATGTCCCCCATGTTGTCATGTTACAATGTATCTCCTCCCCCCTGAAATGTCCCCCATGTTGTCATGTTACAATGTATCCCCCCCCCCCCCCAAAATGTCCCCCATGTTGTCATGTTACAATGTATTCCCCTCCCCCCTGAAATGTCCCCCATGTTGTCATGTTACAATGTATTCCCCTCCCCCCTGAAATGTCCCCCATGTTGTCATGTTACAATGTATTCCCCTCCCCCCTGAAATGTCCCCCATGTTGTCATGTTACAATGTATTCCCCTCCACCCTGAAATGTCCCCCATGTTGTCATGTTACAATGTATCCCCCCCCCCCCCAAAATGTCCCCCATGTTGTCATGTTACAATGTATTCCCCTCCCCCCTGAAATGTCCCCCATGTTGTCATGTTACAATGTATCCCCCCCCATGTTGTCATGTTACAATGTATTTATCGGGATTGGATGTGATGGACCGACATAAAGTGGCACATAATTGTGAAGTGGAAGGAAAATGAGAAATGGTTTCCAACATTTGTGACAATAAATCTGTGGAAAGTGTGGCGACATTTGTATTCAGCCCCCCGGAGTCAATACTTTGTAGGACCCCCTTTGGCTGCAATTCCAGCTGCAAGTCTTTTTGGGGATGTCTCTTTGCACATCTAGAGAGGGACATTTCTGCCCATTCTTCTTTGCAGGATCCCTCAAGCTCTGTCAGATTGGATGGAGGGTGTCTGGGAACAGCAATTTTCAGGTCTGGTCACAGATTCTCCATTGGATTTGGGTCTGGACTGTGACTGGGCCATTCTAACACATGAAGATGGTTTGATCTAAACCAGCCTTTCTCAGCCAGGGTACCCTGGGGTGCCTTGAGGTTTC